ATTATTTGTATTTCCAGTAAACTCTACAAATCAAAAAATATTTAACATTCCTTCTTTGAAAGCCATTAAATCTCAAAAAACAATTAAATAGATTACCGAGAAATTAGGAAAGCTTAATACACAGGGTGAGATGAAAAAACTGAAATCAACTTCAGACTTCTGTTAAAATTATTCCAGTGACAGCTCATTATATTGTTTACAAACGTACAAATGCCTTTTGGTGAGAATTTTCCAGAAAAAAAGTTATTCGTGATGGAATTCAAGTGCGATAGCGTGATTTCTTTATATTTGGCTGGAAAACATCGTTAGAGCACTCCAGCACTTAAATGTGAATAAATCTTTTGTGTATCGTAGCATCGTTCGTTACCGTGATACTGCTAGCGTAGCCCGACGTTATATAGGGGCTATACACAGACGTGGACCTGCACAGACAATCTCCTGTCATAGGTAGTAGCATCCATTACGAACATCAAATACCAAATTTGAAAGAATTCCGGTGAATGATGTCGCCAAAATCAACAAAGTACCGAATATCGGGAGGTACCGTTATATGGGGGCTCTACGAAGACGTGGACCTGCACAGACAATGTTCAGTCTTAGGCTGTAGTAAGGGATACACGAACTTCAAATACCAAATTTAAAACAATTCCAGTAAATAATGAATGTCGCTAAAATCATCAAAATACCGAATTTTGGAGGTACCGTTCGTTATATGGGGTCTATACCAAAACGTGAACCTACATGGCCCATTTTCAATATTAAAGGTCCTGCAGACATAACATACATTTGGAGGGTATAAAAATGTAAAAAAATTTATGACGTTTGATTTTATTGCAATTCTTTTATCTCACCCTATAGTTTATCTTCAACGTAAAAGACACATTCGTACACAAATTTGACCATCTATTTTTATTGGCAGACTTAACTAAGAATGTTACTTAAATTTAATATTACGCAGATCACGAGAAAGTCATTCACGACAATGGATTCCCAACAATATTTCTAAAGTTATAATTTCGAATAATAATAAATGAGGCCACTTAGTGTACGATCCATTTTATATTGAGAGATATTTTATATAAGAGATAATATGAGAATCGTTGATGATATAACATAAAAACCAGATTTAATAAAACTTATTAAAGCAATTAAATGACACCCCATTATCTCTGCAGGTTCTGGAGGTGACATTATATACTTATTTTTATTTAAAAAAAAAAAGAATTGTTCAAATGGATTTTTACGGAGCTGAGAATATAACATTAATTGCTTTCATAATATGTGTAAAAGAAAATAATTTTCAATTTTTTGTGGAAACAATTTGTACAAAGAAATAAACTCACCGCCACAACTATATGTGTACACATTTACCATGTCTTTTTCCTTGAGATAATTTTAGATATTTTCAAATATTGCCAAAAGAAAAATATATGTACACAATATTTAAGAGAACGCGTCTAAAGATATATAAATATATATGGTGGAAATGGCAAATGTGTTGTTAGATTATTACATCATGCTGTACCAGAAGAAATGTAGTACAATATTTGCCAGACCAAAAGGCCATAAAATTATTTCAACCGACAGTTGGTTACCATATTTTCTTAAATTATTGCCTATTCATTGTTGGCCAATCAATATATACTATCTTTTTTCAAACATGATCTAATTTGCTTTCTTATCATCCGTTAGTTATAACTGTTCAAAACTCTCAATAACAATGTCCCATTGTGCTCGGAGAGGTTTCTGGGGAAACCCATGCTTAATAACACAATTATACACAAAAGAAGATAAGAAAATTTAATTAAAAAAAGGAAAACATTGATTGAACCCTTGGCAATATAGACTATAGTGAGGCCATAGACCATATGCCATACGCCACACATCCATATCATGTATGTTATTACCAGTTTGTTATCAAAACAAAAAGCAACAACATTACTAAACACACACGGTTTGAAATAAGCAACTGTTATTAGTACAATAAATATTAGGAAAACCCCTCGAGTCGTTCATAAACAATATATATTAGAGTTCCTATGGAACACCAGAACACACTGATAAGATATAAAGAGTTTAACTAGTTGGATGGCTGGTTGGTTGGATGATTGGTTCCATCATTATCAATATTAAAGGTGTCAGCAGTGCTTTTAAAAATTTGCCAGAAATACACATGTTTTGATTTACATCAAGATTAGAGGTTGTGACGTAGGTGGTGGCATTAGGAACAAGTGATTAGATGTAAGATTATAATTTTCTACACCTGGCAACAAATTGAGTTTAGGTTTGAAATATCGATAATATATTACTGTTAAGAAACACGGCAAGAGGCATATGGAAGTTTACCAGAATTCAGAATTTTCAAATTGTGTTGTCACAAACAATCACTGTTAAAACAGTATTCAGGTAATCTTAACTTGAAACTTATTATAATAAATTAAAATAAAAGTAACACAAAATGAATGTTCGAAAGACAAATAGGCAAAAAGTTTTTTAGACATTATCATCATCATCAAATCATTTTGGTTATAAATCGCATTTTAAAATTCACTTTTTGTTTTCACACAGATTATATTATTATGACGATTTTGAAAAAGTTTGAAGTTTTTTGTATAAAGGTATTTTGTATGACGCTGCCGTTACTGCTGGAATATTTCTGCATATAAGATATAAACAAAGGCTCAAACATATATACATAACAACGACGACGACGACAACGACATAAACGTCAGCCAGACATACAAACATATTCAACACAATGAATCGTTGAATTGACTTGTCCACTGTCGTTGGTTCATTCGTTCCGTCACCTCTTCTTCACTTTTGTAGCAAAATAACACCAAACTGTGTGCCACCAACCAACATCATCATCATTTCAATGATTATTTGTTTATATGTATGAGCATTTTGTATGTGTGTATGTGTATACATATATGTATGCTTGATTTTGGGAAAAACCCAAAATATTTTTATATTTAGCAGCAAATGGCAGAAAAACGTCTGAACATTTTACACACTGTGAGCGAGCAGACAACGAAAATAGCAACGCAAAGTAAAGGCAACGGCAACGCCAACAGTAATAACAACAACTTGGAAAAAGAAGAATATGAACGAAATGAAAATTGTGGGCAGATGAATGTGGGGACGAGAGGCCGGGTGTAGTAGGGGGTTAACTATCAATCCACCACCACAGTCATTGTCAACCATAATCATGTGGGTCTTGGGAAGTCGTGTGGGGCCGACTTTATGATAACCTATACCCTTTTACATATTTATTAGAGCTTCACATTACAAAAAAGTTGTTAATGGGTATTTGTGAGAACTAAATCAAACCAATTATGATTATAGTTATAATTTAAAGTCCAAAGGAACTTATATATGAGAAGAATATCCACTCCTGTAAATCGATTTCTACTAAATTTGCCGAGGCATTTGTGCAGTCTCAAATTGGGCTTTCCATACTATTTGCACATTATGTGCACAATAAAAGGCAAATCGGACGAACATGCATAAATCGACTCAGAATGTGATTCTATGCAGATCATCGAAAGGAACTATGGGTCTATTTCGTTTCCTTTTGCCTGTTACCCTGACCACCTTGTGGTGTACAGTATGATACATTAAATCAAAATTTAACTTGGTATCACATTTTTACGATTAAGCTGCGCTGGTTACAAAGTTTACGAAAGAACAGTTTCAGATATATCTAAATATACCACATATAAATCACCTGATAACAAATGTGTTAAACAATTTTCTTATCAATCTTAATAATCTAGCCCATTCAAATTGTGAGCTTTTTGGGTATTTAGATTTATTTGAAAATGAAACAAAAAAGCTAAAAGGGGATTTTTTCTTTTAAATTCAAGATTAAAATACATATCTGAGAATTAACAATTAAAGTATTCCTTTGCTCTGCAAAACCGCCAGCATTTGCTTTCATTACGAAAACAAACAAAAAGTATTCAAGTACTCTGGTGATACAAAGAAAGCTAAATGTATTAAGAATATATGCCTGGTGCATTCAAGTAACAATAATAAACCCAGATGTTGTGTGCAAGTTCCCACAACATATCCTAAAATATATTCAAACACGCAAACCAAGAACAAAGTTGCAAGTAGTATCTATAAATGTGAAAAAGTTACTTGTATACATACCTATATAGGTTTATGACTTACTGGAGAGTGTGGGAAAAGAGTGGTTCTTTTTTATAATTGTATGTGGCATATAACAATTTTAATTCCCCCTTAACTTTATTTGTATAAGATATTAACCTTTTACAAGAAAAATACCTTCATCCCCAGTTATTCTATAATTAGTAAATTTTATAAACAACAACCAATCAATAAATTTGCCTTGGAAATACTAAACAAACAGATGTGAGAAAAATCGAATATACAACAAATTGAACAAAAGTGAACATACAAATCTTAAGAAAACTGTTCCGTTCTCATTTTGTTGATGCAATTCAAAAGCCAAATCATGTGCCAAAATAAGATACAATTTACTGCTGAAGTCGAATGACGTCAAAGAAAATGTTTATTCTAAATAAAAAATCTTAATGCCAAAGTATTATGGCTTTACATTCGTACATACAAACACAATGAATTCTATTAACCAAATACCTACATATAAAAGCATTGGCAAAAATACAAATACAAAGAAGAATTAAGAGAGAAAAAAATGACCCGCAGACATTTTCCCAAGAATATACCGCAGACAAATAAGCGGAAAATTCTATGGCGAAACAGTGTGTCTATTTTTAAATTAGCTAAATAAATTCTGTATACATTGCTTTTGTTTTTTTTTTAAGGAATACAAAAAAATGTCTATGACTATGGCTAGCCAAGAAAGACATATGACAATAATAACAATAATACGGTCGGGACGTCTGCATATAGTATAAACATTATAATTGGGATGATGCCATTCTAGATGAAAACTTTGAAATGTTCTCAGGCATATTTGCAAATAACATATTTAATTGATTTCCACTCACCATCATAATTACGTATTTCCAAGTCTGAAGGTAAATGGGCACATTTGAGATAGGATTTGTCATTGGCACGGTGACCGTATTGTCTATGGGCTTCATTTACTTCAGAGGCACCAATCGACATGGTCAAAGCTCGTACACATTGTTCTTCGCCAGACATACAGGCCAAATGTAAAGCCGTATTACCATGACGATCACGTATGGTTGGCTGTAAATAAAGTAAAGAATAATACAAATAGAGAATTTCAAACATTAATATCTAGGTATAAGTTCAATGGTAACATAAAATGTATTTAACGTACTACCTTAAGAGGAATGTAGGAATGTACTTCTATGGAAATATTATATGTATGTTGGTTACAATGATTAGGATTATTTTAAATAGGTGCTCTGTTTCAGAACCTGCAAGAATCTTCCAGTTTTGCAATTTTTTTGATATTATAAAGAACAAATTCTTGCAGTTCTGGGACAGAAATTGGATATTTTCAAATTCTAATCGACTTTGAAATTTCCATAATTTGTCTTATCTCAATTGAAACTGTGATCTTCCTTATCATCACAATTTCCTTAATTTGATGAAAATAATGAATAGAACACATACATACATTGCCTTATTTATTGAATATTCTTCTTACCTCTGCTCCTGCTATTAACAGCATTCTTATAATTTTGGGATGTGCTATTAATGTGGCCAGGTGTAAAGGTGTTTGCGCCTGATCATTTTGTATATTGAATAGGCAGGGATGAGGTGCCATGCGTATTAATGCAGCCACCACATCTACTAATCCCGAAATACATGCCAAGTGTAAAGGTCTGAAAGAGAAAAAAAGAAAACAATAAATCTCATTTCCAGAATATGCACGTCACAAATTGCAGTCGCCGTCATTAAGCCAAAGCATCTGCCCATTTTGGGAAACACCTGTCGAGCAGCTATGACAATTGTGCACGTTTTTGCAACTTCCTGCCCTTTGTGTTTATTGTCGTGGTTAGTTTGCCCCTTTTTGTTTTAGTTTGGATGAATTATCTTAATACGTGCCTAAAGGTCTAACCTGTTTAATTGTTTACAATTTTTTGGAATTTCTACAAAGCAACAGGTTTCAAATTACATATGGAAGCAGGTAGTCAAATTCTCTTTCTACTTAGTACCGGACTAATATAACTTTAAAACAGGTACTAAGAATTGTAAAACCATTGTTAGTATTTGACAAGGATTTAAAGATGAAAAAACAATGACGATTAAAAGCACAGGCTCAGGTGTTTAAATATATAATAACAAAAACCTATCCTCGTTATGTTCGATTCCTGAATATTGTTTGGGGAATATATAACAACATAATCTTATATTCAATTATATATCTCGATTGATAATAAGTAGCATCTGTCTTTCAAAAATGTCAAACTTCGGTCTAGGAGGATAATAAAATGATTGAATACTTACGTATCTCCCTCATCATTCTGCTGATAATAATATTCCCATGCATTGGCCGGTGTTATGTGGGCTGGTACATTGGTTGTGTTCTGTTGTGGGGCTGTTGTAGCAGAAGACGACGATCCAGCTGGAGCATGTTGCTGATAGGATGTTGATGGTACTGAGGCGGAGGAAGGTGTGATATTAGATTTTTGTTGCTGTTGTGTAAATCCTTTTGGGGCATCCAAATTATTTAAATTTGAATTATTTTGCAAGCTAAGCTTGCACAGGCGCTCCGACATGCCGGTTTCCACATTATATTTAAGTAACATTTGTTCGCTGGATTCTTCCTCAATACAGCCCGAATCTGAATTAAACGTTTTGCTTTGTTGCACTTTTTGTTCTGCACCACCAAAGGCTCCTTCCACAACTTGGCTGCTGATGTGAATGGCGGCTGAAGACGATGCTGATGCGGTTGATTGTGGTCCCGATATGAAACCAGAATCTGTTGCTTCCTCTGTTGTAGATTCTAGTAACTTCTTGTTGTTGTCGACTCCTAAATCTGCCGGGGACAATGTTGGTTTGTGTTCTAATGATGTTGTTTGTTGACTATCACCACTACATTTGCAATCATCGGCATTATTTTTATTATCACTTGTTGACGATGATGATGGTGTTGACGGTGTTGGTTGCCACATTTTGTTGCAGTTTTTTAATAATTTGTTTATGTCTACTTTTAAGTGTTATTTGTCTATATTTCTGCTTTATATTTGTTCAATTTTTTAACCAAAAAGAACGTTTTTTATTCCTGTGTTGAAAAATATTGCAATTAATAACACAGCTCGTCATCAATTTGACAGGTAATGGAAGAATAAAGTACTGGCACAAACCGAGAGAGGTTTAAACTCAATTACGAAAGAAGTGGAGATTGATTTAAGTTAATGCAGTGTTGCATTTTTTGTAGTATAAAATCACAAATAACGTAAAAAAACAAAGACGATGTCTAAAAAAAACTTTCGCTGGTTTTTCCCCAGCTTAAGAAAATAATTTTAATTCTCCCATTATTTGCGCGGCGGCCAGACTTTATTTGTTCCACACAGCAACAACAACAAATTGCGTAAATACAAAAAAATAACACTTGTTATTTTCCTTTTCACTCGTCATTTACGAACACGATGTACACAAACACACATAATATTTAGTAGTTGCTATAAAATACACACATAGACCAAAAGGGCACACGAAATGTAGATAAAAGGCTTGAAGCAACAAGTATTAAAATATTATTTTCCTATACATAAATTTATCTCTCTTTTCATCTGTTTCTTTATCGCTACAATTAGAATTGCAAACATTTTAATTACGCACACATATTTATGTTTCTTTTTCCCCGTTTGGTTTTTATTTCCTCTTCTTGTTTTTTATTTTAGAAATTTCTTTTGTTTTTTTTTCTATTTTATTTTCCCACGAATGTTGTACCTTTTTTCTGTATTTTAAAACATTTGTTAATATTTCTAGATATTTTCTTTTCCGCTTATCGCAAAACTTTTCCCGTCCGTCACTTGTATTGGATTATACGCTTTGATTTCGTTTAATGCTATAAAATGCTAAGTTCAGCCAATAAATGAATAAATGTAATAGGGATATCTCGGTCGACTTTAGACAAGATGGCGCAAGCGATTTATCGATATTGTTCGATTAATCGATTGTTCTCATATAATTTAAACTTTCGAGAATATTGAAAGGCATCATAGAAAATATATGATTTTCTAAATTTATTTTTAATAAAATTGCTTGCGGCGAAGGAGAAATAATACAAAATTTCTTCGATTATAGTCAATTATTGCAATGGCAATAGTTCTGTCTGTTGTTTTGTTAGTTTTTTGTTCAATAAAATGATAACCAATTGCAAAACTTGTAGATTCTTGCAGGTACTGGAACAAAGCAAATAGTGGTCATTGTTGCAACATTCTGAAGATGTCAAACCGATATGTCATTGTTCATTCTTTCAAATGTGATTTTAATAAATGAGCGGTTAAGATAAAGGAAAGTTCCTTATTCTATAAAAGTTATCGGGAAGATTCCCTAAATAAGCAAAAAGAATTCTATCGAAAAGGCAAATCAGCCAGTGACATTCAGTATTTTATTTTTTATATTGTCGTCTAATCGTCTAATGTCTTTTGTGCTCTGTTTCAGAACCTAGAAGAATGTAAAAATGTTGCTACGATAACTGGTTTCTGTCTTCTTCGAAGTAACATACGTACAAAGCTTGCATACATACGTGGCTTTATTTATTTGATATTTTTTCCGAAATCATGTTTTTTTTGGCTTTACCCCTTTCTTAAACATTGGTCAGTTTCAAAACTGCAAGAATATAGATATTTTCACTACGAAAACCGATTTATTTTTATGTTATCGAAAAATATTTTAAAACTAGTATATTTTTCCTATCCCTGCATCTATCTCAAATTCCACTGAATTTTTTTTCAGTAGGGAATAGTAGTGGGGAACTAAATGCTACAATAGGTGAAAATAATGCTCCAATTATTCCGATAAATAATACCTAAGGGGGCGAACAAAGTTTTATTGAACTCATAGATAAGCATAACAATTTTCGAATTTAAAATAACAAGTTATATAATTTTAATTATATAATTTAATATCCATTTACGTTAAATTCGATACTTTTTTCGAAACACTTTGCACATCTAACAGCCAACCGTCAACACCATCATAAGAATTAAAACAAAATTCAAAAAACTTACATTAAAATTGTTAACTTTTCAAAATATTTGATAAACACTAATCTATGCACTCCGATAAAGATGTTTTTATTTCCAATGTTGAAATGTTACTGAAATCTATCAAAAAATCGTCCTATATTTACTTGTGGGGCGAAGAATTTGTGTGTTAATTTTGGAAATTCCAGGTCACAGCGGTTAAGTCAAAGATAAATACAGAACACATCATCCTTGTTGAAAGAGATGGCAAGAAAGAGAGCGCAAAACAATTATTTTGGAAAAAAGGATCGTTGTTTTACTACCTGCAACTTATCTAAATGCTCTCTTCTTAAGATAATCAAATGCTGGTCGAGTGATTTATTGGCCCTGAATGGAGGACGACAAATGCTCTCATAATATGCATATTCATATGTGTTATTTCCGATTGTCTATCGCTCCAGCTGTTATTGTTATGCGTGTGTAGCGCCGCCGTGAACAGGAAATTTGACTGAATTCTGTTGATATTTTCATTTAGAATTCGGATTTTTGCCGAGGAAATTGTCGGGTTATTTCTTATGTTCAATGTACAAGAGTGAGTAAACCGCTGCTCCCACCAATGAGTGTTTGGCGAAATGGACCGGCGACGACGTCGCGCGCTTATCAGCTTGCCGTAATGTGTTTGAAAACCATAATGATTCTTATGGGTATTTTTCTTAGTAATAGGGAATTTTGCCTTTAAAAAAAGTCACTCACATCATGGGAAAAGTAAATAAAGAATTGATTTTCCAATTGTCACCAAATGATGTGAATGTGCTGGGGCTTTTTTTGAGAATGGTTTTTAAAATGCTTCTAGTGGACGTATTGATAAACGTATCTTAATGTTTGCGTGTACGTACATACATATGTATGTTTTAAATTGATTAATTTTAAAATTAATTAATCATAATAACCTGATAAAAATAAATTAAATTTTAACTTAATAATTAATTTAACTTAAAAAATAATTTAATAATTTAACTTAAAAAATATATATATTACTTGTAAATCGCTAAAAAACAGTTAGCACGTTTCCGTATCCAATACTAGCAGAACTGGAAGACAATTATGAGAAAAACTGGTCTGTTCCAGACATAAAATAATGTAAAAGTTTTTACGATTTTCCCTTTATGATATCGAAAACAAGTAAAAAAGCAGATACGTTCGGCTGAACTTTTAATTCCCTCCACCATTTAGAAGAAACTTAAAAATTTTCAAAAAACACGAAGGCGTGGACCTGCATACGAATTTGTTTGCCATAAGTTGTAGTCCCCATTAAGATCTTCCAATACGAAATTTGAAACGATTCCGGAGAATAATGTTGCTGAAATCATCAAAATACCAAATATCGGGAGGTACCGTTATATAGGGGTTATTCGAAGAATTGGACCTGCATACAAACAAAATTTTGTCATAGGCTGTAGTACTCATTACGAACTTTAAATATGAAATTTAAGATAATTCCGATATATAATGTCACTAAAATCATGAAAAAAACTAATATCGGGAGGTACCGGAAATACGTAAATTTACTCCTTCTTGTCTCCACAGTTCCATGTAAGACCAATGGTTTATAACTTTGAATATTTTTATTTAAATATTAAAAGCACTTCATGACAAAAACTAGTTCAATTTTTAAGATTATTTAAAGGACTTCTTGCCCAAAAATGATCAAACTTTTAAAAATATTTAATATTTAAAGATATCCCAGCCAAAACTAGATTTTGTAAAAAAATATTTCGGATCTTCCTGTTCAGAAATCATGTAGTTAATAGAAATTTCGTCAACGACTGAATGGGAAAACATTTCGGTTCTGTACATACAAATTTGATATTTTTAAGTATATTAACTTCCTTTTTATACCCTTCTCCATGTGGGAGTTGCGAGAAGTTGATTTACACCGTTGCATGGGGCTATTACCAAACACTATTCGAGGCTCGTCTTAAATGCCAACCATCTGAGAAGCATTTATGTCAAATTTGATTAATTTATCGTAAAACCAGTGAAGAAAGTCTAAAAGTCGGACGGGCCCGACTTTATGATACCCTTCACCCCTTTTCATATTTAGTAGAGCTTCATATAACAAATCGGATGAACAGTATATATGGCATCTATAAATATATGTGAACCGATTTTAAATCTGACATAAATGTTCCTAGGCTCAATTTAGTCGTAAGTACCGAATTCCATCCCATTTGGGCTAAAATTACACGTTTGGTGCACTATAAAAAGCAAATCGGACGAAGATATATATATGGGGGCTATATCTAAATGTTGACTTCATTATTATCTTGAAAGGGTTCGTCCTCGGGTGAAACAAATGACTTGTGCATAATTTCATCTGGATCGGGCAAGAAATGGACAGACGGACGGACATGCATAAATTGACTCAGAATGTGATGCTATGCAGATCATCAAAAGGAACTCGTTTCCTTTTGCATGTTACAAACAAATGCACAAAGCCATAATACCCTGGACACCTTGTGGTGTAGGGTATAAAAATTAGCCTCCACTTTGCAACAGTCATACGAACGAATTTAATGCTGATGGCGTATATGTATTTGAAAGAGTCTCAGACGAATATTCTTCTAGTGGAGGATATAAAAAAATATTTGTCACATATGTTTAATATATCCGTATTTTGATGTCCGACTGAAAAATTAGCTATTTCTACAACAACCTATTTAAAAAGTTGTTGCAACCATGGCAAAATAACAGAAGGTAGAACAAATCTATCCTCTAAATACACATTTTGTGTAAAAAATATACTTTTTGCTAAAATAAAATTCTGATGGAGAATCTCAATTCTCGTTCCATAAAAATGTGATATATAAACTTCTATAAAGTAAAGAAATAAGAAATTAAAAATCTATAAATAAAACAGCTAAAGCTATTTCTAACACAATAACTAATAACATATGGCAATATCAGCAAAGACTTCTACCTAATAGCGACAATCCCACGGCAGCGGGTTCTACGATACCGGATTGACCCGAAACAACAAGATTCCAGTTTCGGCCAGCGGCTGCCAACCCAGTATGTACACAAACACACACATGTACTACTGCTACAACAACAACCTAATAGCGAAAGCGGAAAACGTTTTTATTGTAATGTGATTTTCAATAGATGGAGCTAGTCTCCCTTGCAACAATAAGGCAGGAAAAGGTTTTATACGTCATCCGTTTTCATGGTAGAAGAATACAGGTAGATGCATCAACACATCAACATTTTTAAAAGTGTTTTTTTTTTTTTAAATAAGTAAATTTTTATATGTTTTCTCATACGACGTCAATCGGAGATTGTTATGATATGGATTGTTTAACAATTATAATCATATTTCATTCAAAAATTTTAATTGCAAAATTGGTTTGGCAGTTTATTGTCCCAGCAGCTGTGTTGATGCCACTAGCTTTATTCTTCTACCATGTCCGTTAATACACACAAGTTGATAACCGGATTTATACCTCACTTATACTATTGAAGATTAGCCTACTGTTTTATTAGATCCATGGTAGAAAAATACAGGTAGATGCATCAACGCTTGGGAGCATTGACATGTCAAAATTATTTTAGTTTCTTTTCAAATGTAAGTAGATTTTTATATGTTTTCTAATACAACGTCGTTTGGAGTTTATTATAATGCGTGTTTTTCAACGATTTTTACAAATTTAAATAACTTTTCATTCAACATTTTCAATTCCAAAATTGGTTTGACAGTTCATTGTCCCAGCAGCTGCGTCGATGCGTCTACCTATATTCTTCTACCATGATTAGATCTGAAGCCGAGTCTTTTAGTACGTTTACAGTTTGCAGAATTTATTATACCCAGTGGTGCAATTTCATTGCATATACCTCAAAT